AAACAAGTCCGGCAGTGTCATATTCTACTTCTGCACCAGTTTTTGTTGGCACATCATGTCCTCCACGAGGTGACGAGGGTAAAGCCTCACTGCATGTGATGTGCTTTGTTCTTTATCTACATGAATATCTTATTTCCTTTTTCTTTCGAAAAGGTGCAAGCAACCAGGCCACTAGGAACTTAAAAATTTGCAACATTCTCGGAATTTTTTTTTTTTTTAAATTGCAGTATTCATCCATACATAGATCAGCATAGAACAGATTGACGAGGCTGACATCGCGCCAAAGCAATAACACAATATATACTGAAGTCAATCGGTATGAGAGCCCAACTTCTGGCCTCCAAACATCAAACCAACAATAATGCAGAAGCATCTGCTGATTCTTCTATGAAATGACCGCCTATACTACTTCTTCGCCTACACTACTGCTACTCTAGATCACTATACTACTATAGCCAACTTCTCTCTCTCTCTCTCTCTCTCTCTCTCTCTCTCTCTCTCTCTCTCTCTCTCTCTCTCTCTCTCTCTCTCTCTCTCTCGGTGTGTGTGTGTGTGTGTCTCTCCCTCTCTCTCTCTCCCCCTCCTCCCCCTTTCAAACTGCCCTTTCCAAACTTCTTTGTGCCACAACCGAACTTACCCCTTTTCCAAATTACTGCACAGATGGCCGATCTTACTGCCCTGCTTACGTATCCCCACCCCTTCTTTTGAGGCACCTTGGCTGGCAGAATACCATCTAATACAAATTTGAGATTTCTCAGTCCACTGAATATCCTGTGTGGCGAAGTTAGCCCAATGACCCTCCCACCACTTCCAGATAATACGTTTTGATTCCACATAGGGTCTCGTTAGACACGCCTAAAAATGAACTCGTGAAGAAAAATGCCAGTTCTTAGGAATGCATTGTGGTTAGAACTTAGAAGCCACCTAATAAGGACATCGTGAAGAAAAATGTGAAAACAGTGAAGGAGCGTTCCTACAAATATTAAGGAATCCCCATGCAAACGACTGAAAAAATTACGCTCCTCGCAAGGAACTTTAAAATCTGGGAGTCCTTGTTTCGCGGAGCTTCGCCAACGTGTGCAGCACATGAGTGTCCAGAACTCCATGGTGCAGAAGTTGGGCGTGGGGCCACTGCACGGACATTGCAGGGCTTCGGTGGTGGGACAACAGCAACGGCAAGAACCGGTAGATGTGGGGGCGGGGGGTCCACTTAGCTATTCCTACTTTTCAGTGGATGGCAGCACGTAGCTCTCATGACGACCAGGATTGCAAGGTGTGTGGTCAGGGAGTGCAGACCCTTCCCTATCTTTTGTTGCTCTGCACTGCGCGATGCGTATTTTCGGAATGGTGGGCGATGGATGTGGGGCGTGTGGTCTCCCTCAAGGGAAAGAAGTGGGGGCTGGATGCGGCGCTGGTCGGTTCAGGTGGGGCATGGCGGGAGGCTATGCATATCGGAAACAGTACGTGTGGCTTACTTTCAGCCCGCTCTGGCATCTGAAGGATGAGCCGATCGTCTCTGGGCGAGAGTTTGGCTTC